GTCCGGTCAAACCTGGGTTTGCAGACAGAAGACGCAGGAAAGTAATACTCTTTTGTGTAGCTAAACGTCACAAAAAAATTGCTAAAGATGAGGTTGTTTATTGGTCTAAGTATTCTTTTTTTTTTGCAAACCTTCATGTTCGATTGGTTTTACAAATCAATTTATGAAATGGCACCCAGCACAGAGTCTGATGCAGGTACACATGTAAGATGAAACCAGGTGGCCCGAGCAATACATTAACCCTTCGTTGTGGTCGAGTAGAGAGGGAAGAACATCCTAGGGACATCTGAGAAGTTTGCAGGTGACGGATGAAACGTTCACATGCTATTCCACCGTTTTTTTCTTTGGAATGAGGCTCAGCTAAAGACACGCTGACCACAGTCACCGACGGGAACGCAGCCAAAGTCGGTGACGAGCAGGAGAGCGAAGGCAAACAGCACACGCTCTGATATATCAGTATATTCCCTGATTACTTAAACTGCAGATGCCTGGCAGCCTGAAACAGAGCCAGAAGCGCCTCTCACCACTGCATGACGCGGGCAAGTGCAGAGCAGGCCTTGCATCCGTGTCGCACTCGTGTTGCTCCCGTGTCTCTGCCGTGATGGCTTCGACAGCGGGGTTTTTTACATGCCCCGAGTGACTGGGAGCATCCGTCGGTTCGGGAGCTGGAAACGTTTTCACAAAATGTACAAGATTAAACTGATGCAATTCCATCAGGCAACTGCTTTACTGTTCCCATAATAGAGCATTGGGATTGGTGGTGAATCCAGACTCACGCACACACACACACACACACACACACACACATACATATGTCGGGTATACCTATCCTTATGGGGACCGCTCATTCACTTCTATGAGAAAAATGCTAACGCTAACTATGACAACCTTAACCTCCACCCAGCGCTAACCTTAACCATAAGTAACCAAATAAAATGTTTGGCATTTTTATTATTTAAATTGCATTCACAGATTTTTATCAGATTAAGGTTATCCAAATGGACAAACTGAAAAATGTCCCCAAAAGTAAGGATGTTTCCGGTTTTAACACACTTTGGGGACATTTTGGTCCTCAAACGTGATCTGTGCAAACCCACACACACACACACTTTTTATTGTTTGTTTATCAGCTTCTCCCTCTGAGGGTTTGTGTGTGGGGGGGTGGGATTTGATCACCATCCACAGATGCCACTCTAGACAGGCCTTATTTTAGGCATGGGCTAATTTTATCGGGAAGGAGGACAGCGTACGGTGGCTAAATAGACGGGAAATGGCAGAGATCGAAATGAGCTCTGCTTTGTTTTGTCAGTTGCTATTCCACAAAGAAAACTCCTCAGCCTCAGCTTTCTTCTCCTGCTGTCTTGGGTGCGTGTTTATACTGCTTTACCGTTTTCCTTCGTGATAAAACAAACTTCGTTTCCGTGGACACCGGTAATTAGTGCGTGATTACATTTGCTGTAGTTGGCATCGTAAAGCTGTGCTCGTTCTCAGCACTTAATCATGAAGCAGCCGTGACACGTGTGACGAGGGCCTCCGACGGCCCGGGGGAGACCCATCCACGCGGCCGGCGGGGGAGATGAGCTGGTGTAGGCTGCCCTCTAGCTGTCAGGACCATAACTTCCATGTTGGGAGAATGCGGGCGAGCAGATCCTGCAATGCCAGGCTGGCCTGAGCACATTTTGATTTGGTACCAAGTAGAACATTAAATTGGTATTTAAATCAACCACCTCTACATATAAGAAAACGAGACAAAACAAGGTCCATCATTTCTGCTTATTTAAAATATATACGGCTGTAAACAAGGCTTTCTTTCCAACTGAGGCTATGCTGAGTCATCTCTACGGCAGTAGTGATACAGAGCAATATTATAGCCGATTAGCTGGTACATCACATACGTCAGTCACGTGTATGCTGTGGCAGGGGTGGAGCGTCCCGTAGATAACGCCAAGAAAAGACGATCATCTAACAAAACTCACAAAATCCGTACGAGGCTCCTATAAGAATGACAAACATGCAGAACTCATGAAATAAAAGAATAAACTCCAGCTAAACAACTCCCGGACGACGCTTCCTCCTACCCTGACGACGCTTCCTCCTACCCTGACGACGCTTCCCCCTTACCCTGACGACGCTTCCCCCTTACCCTGACGACGCTTCCCCCTTACCCTGACGACGCTTCCTCCTACCCTGACGACGCTTCCCCCTACCCTGACGACGCTTCCTCCTAACCTGACGACGCTTCCCCCTTACCCTGACGACGCTTCCTCCTAACCTGACGACGCTTTCCCCTACCTCTCTGGATCTTACTGCCTCCCTCTGAGCCGAGCCTTGGTTCAGCCCTGACGTGACACTGGGGCTGAAAGGGGTCAGCTGGGATTCATTAATGGCGATACCTGTAGGTCGAGGGTCGGTGACGTCAACAAACGAAAATCACCCGGATTTCATCCTGGGCTATTAATCCCATATAATTTTCTTCTTGAAATTCCGAAACGATGTGCGCACATTTTTAATAAACCTCATATTTTATTGAAAACCCAAATGCTGCCACTGAAGATTTCTCAGGGTTATATTATTTTCTGCTGACATTTACTGTAAGTAAATGATATGGATTTCAGCAGTGGACTCTTTGGTGGAGGAATCTTTGGTCAGTGGAGCAGCTGCAGGTTCTTGGAGCGATTTCCTGCCCACGTTACACACTGACTTGGCACAGTTCTTGCTGGTCCCTCTTGGCACTTTCACGCAGCCTCAGGTCTTGCTTACGGCCTGCAGTTTTCAGGACTTCCTGCAGATTCGCAGCAGGACTGATGTCTGGACTTTGAAGGGGCCCAAGATAGATTCACTCTTTGTTGCTCTTCGTATTCTCTTGTTTTTTTTTTTCCTTCTCCTGAGAGCTAAATCCTCAACTCAGTTTCAACAGAAGTCATTTAGCAGACTGAGTCAGTGTGCATGACATTTACTGTTCATCTAATATGTGTATGTATTATTTTATACTTTCTCAAAATGGATTTTAAACAAATTAATTTGACTCCCGTGGGGAATGTTTTCACCGATTGCATTTCCAATGGGTAAAAAAATCCCTTTAAGTAAGCTACATCCTTAACTTTTCCTGTGGAAAGCTACTGCTCACTCACTGTGCATTTGTAGATTGAAAGCCGTGTTAGCGAGAGACCGGTATGTTTATGAAATGTCTGTCTGATTTCTAGATGCTGCAGTATGAAGCCTGGTCAGGGTCAGCGCTCCCCAATTTACTGACATCACACGCAAACATCATAAATACAACTTTTATAAGACAGGATATTGTACTAATGGTTCCAAGGGACAAAAGTAAATACTCTTGTAGAGTTTAGTGCACAGTTAATATGGAGCTGAGTTTGAAACTGGTGCTTTATTGACATCAAACGTAATCCATTTTGACTTGATTACAAGAAAGCTTTTTCTTATGGAGACCATAGAAAAAGTTTCATTTTCAAATAAAAATGACCTCTTTAACCAGCAATTGAAAGAAAAAAACATTTATACATGGTCCCCAATACTCCTAACAGGCCGACAGATGTTAGACTGCTGTAATTCACTCAGGCATCTTGAATAACAGCCTCAGAACAAGCTGGAAATGGCCCTTTTCAACAAAAAGAGGGGCAGCTTCCTCGGAGTAAACTACAGCAATCTGAAAGGGTGCAAGCTGACAGTGGCAGGACCGATTTCGGGCTGAGACCCAACTCGAGAGCAAGCCAGGAGTCTTGTGGGGGGAGAGAGGGGGGTGTTGGGGAGTGGAAAATGTTCCTGCAAAAGTTTGGAACCACACATGCCACCCCCAACCCCTGTGCCCAACAAAATGAATGCGTGACACATTTTGGAACAGCTAGTTCGACCGGATTACTAGGAATGATCTTGGATGTGAAACAAAACAACTGCAGTTTATTTATTTATTTTCTGTGTGTGTGTGTGTGTGTGTGTGTGCGCGCACACAAAATAAATAAAAAAATAAATAAAATACTCTGTTCCGCTTTTTGGCTGTTTGACACGTACGAGGATTGTCCCCATTTTCAACTCAAAATGGCCCTCAAGACCCTTCAAAGCATTTATGGTGTGGTATGGAGCTGCGTATTTGTGCTTATTGGGGTTTCATAAAAGGGTCGGCGCAGAGCCAGGCCACGTGAGAAGTGCATTAAGGGTAATGGTGGCACATATTGCACAGTTTGGCCTCATTTTCCTCTGTGAAACGGGGCAAACAAGTGTAATAATAGAATGCTGGGGCTGGGCTTCAAACCTGCACTTAGGAGCTCGTTTTCTACAACATTTTTCGTTCCCCCCACAAACCGTAACTGGGCCACATATTTGTTTCGTTTTGACAGCCCCATGACCTCCAAAGTGGACCGTATGCCCCCCCCCATTAGATTCTTGCCTTTCTCAAAGTGCCTAAGCTGATGGACTGTGAAACGTCTCCGCCCCTCTCCCCCACCCTTCCTCACCTTACGTCAGGAAACACGGGTAGCCAAGTACCCCGGTTCCACCATGTCCCACGTCCTTGTCCATCCCAGACTTGGAATGGAAAAGCTTACGGTCCGCGCCACTGCTGGGTTTGTGGCACGGAGGCGGCATTAACCCGGCGCTGGAGGGAGATTTGGAAAGAGCTGTTCAATTTCCCGTGTTTCCTCAAACCACGTTCCCTGAGTAGCTGTGAGCTGTGAAATTGGAGGTGGAGAAAAACGTGTTTGTTTGAGTTGGGGCCGGAGTGTTGCTCTTGCTGGAAGTCCAGCACGCTCATGCTCCTCAGAGGCTGGGTCGGCAGGATTCTGGTTTAGTCATCTCCTGGGTACCGGAGGAGCCTACGGTCAATAATGGGACTGAGGGAGTTGGCATGGGTCGGGCAGCCTGGGGCAGTAGCGGGAAGCAGTTGGGTAGAATGTGGCAGAAACATTTCAGCCGATGGCAAAAACTTTATAGCTCAACTTGGTGTTCGGTTCCTTAACGTTTGTCTCCTCCTGTCTCCTGTGCTTCAGGGTCGGGAAAACAGCAGTCCAGAGAACCAAAGAAAAAGTCAGAGAAGCAGAGGCTCCGGGTTCGAGCGCAGAACCAGCACAGCGACCACCTGGCCACCATCCGGGCAGGCCAGTGAGGACTGACACCCCCCAGAGAAAAGTGCACAAAAGCTGCTAACCGCTACTCCATACACGCCCTGCCCCACCACCACCTCTCCCAGCCCCGCTGCTCCCTGCGCACCGGTGGCAAGTGTCCCCCAGGAAACCACAGCTGAACGATGCTTGGTCCTTTTCTTTTTCTCATAATCTCATCACGTCCAGGAATTAAAGGAAGGAAAGAGCGGAGGAAGGACCCAGGCCTGAGCAAGACGAACGGGGAGCGAGATCTGAACTGAATTGGAAACAATGGAGAGGAGGAGGAGCATAAACTTCGCAGGAACGATAAGGCCAAAGGATGTAAATTATGTCAAAATAAAAGACGGACTGCCCTAATTTATGATGAATGAGAAAACAGTCTTTTTGAAGGAGATGGACCGTTTTGTGATTGGCCTTCGTTGTACATTTTGAAAGTATTGTATACAGAACATGCTTAGTTGCGAAGTATTTTATTCTCAGCACAAAATGTTTACGTCCAAAATGCTTTATGCTCTAACTGTATATTGTGAGTAAAGAAATTTAGTTGTTGAACTAGCATGGCGAACTCACCTGTATGTTAAATGTGCTGGGATCCATAATACTTCAGCTTATCACTGTTTTTTCAGTATTGAATTCTTCATGGTTCAAAATGTGTTGCCGTTAGGAGAAACAGTGGTAATACTCAGCTACAGACTAAAAAAAAAGAAAAAGAAAAAAACATAGCCACATAGCTATTACATTTATATGATATATTTGATTTATTTATTGATTTTTAATTTTGTACTTTTGTGTTGATCATACGTCTCACTTCTGTGCTGAAATATTCCTGAATCCTTATAACAATACAAATATCTTTAAAATTTCAAATTGTTTGTGTCTAATATATCATAAAATGTACCTCCATTTACTTCATTCACTAATTTAAATGTTTCGGGAAAAAATGTATTTTTACTTACTTTAAAATTATTATTCATGATAAGAGAAGAAAACATTATTTCATGTTAGTCGCCAGACTCAGTATTTGTAGTTTGTGCTTTATTAAAATACATTTCATGTGATTCCAGTCAAGTTTGAGATTTCTGTATGTGTTTAAAACGTTCAGCCTTCGAAATCCTACAGAAACAGGTCATATTACATATTACAAGGCAATTGCTATATGGCAATCGAAACTTTGGGGTCAGACAAAACGGGACCAGATCAGCTATGCCCAGTTTCCCTGTCACTCCCAGTATCTCGACTGGTCTTACGAATTTGTGACCTCTGGTCACACGCCTGGTTTGCTTTTCACAGCTGTGAGGCTTTAGATGACCTTGAAAGCGAGATTGTGTGCAGTAATAATACCAGGCCTCTGTCTCCACTTGTGGCCTGTTAAAAATTAAAAATAAAAAAGTTTGACACACACAATAACAGCATAATAATATCTTTATGTTACCTTCAGCAGATGAGACAGGACCAAACCAAGGGCTGGTAAACCACTGAAAACTGATTTACATGCCTAGAATTCTCAAATTCTACATTTTAAAATTTAAATGTTGTGTTAATAAAAGTAAAAACATTTAGCAGCACTACAACGGCTACTTTCGGAAAGCAGCCAATGCTCCTGTAATCATTTAGCGCTTTATAAAAACACAAACTGACATGTTGACATCTGTGTGATGCACAGTAAAAACCCGAACACAGTGCACTTTCAACACACATTATCACAGCAACTTTACTACTGCAAGCAGTTGAAATCTAATGCATTAGACCACGACACTTTATAAACTAAGAGTGATATCAAACACAGCGACATTTTTTGTTTCACTCATTTCTCAATTTACGGGCATGTCTGTGTAAAATATAATTTTTTTATACTGCAGCTTGGCTCTTCCATGTTTCTCATTAATGAAGATGGGACCTCAGTCCTGCTTCTAGCAGCCTGAAGCATACTGTCCTAGCAGTGCACTTCACACCTGCACTTAATGTTTCCCATTCCTTTAGAAGGTCACTTGGTGTCATCCTATGATTCATGAGAATGTCAGATAATCTCTGACTTTAGAAAGTCGTTTCTGGCCTCTACCTGACTGTCGTTCCCAGTGTCTCCTGCTTCCCCTTGTTCTTGTGCACTGCTGTCTTAGAAGCTTTGAGCCTGGAAGCAGCCTGCTGCTCAGTGTGGCCTCTGCCAGCAGAACCAGGATTAAACCAGGATTTAAGATTTCAGATTTTTCAAAAAAATTATACAGAGTGGTCTGTTATTTTTTCCAGAACTGTAATATAAACTATATGAATAATGACACAGGTCCACAGGAAGACTGGACGACAGTGTGTGTATTGTGTGTGTGTTTGTGTGTGTGCCATATACTATGTAGGATTTTACCTTTAGGGAGTCCTATCATGTTTCCCGATATGAGTAAAGCAGACGGTCATTTCGATAAAACCATCCTGAACCACCCTGGACCCGGAGCTCAACTAACCCATCTTTACGCACTTAACTGTCGGCAAATGCTGCACATTGTTCCGTTTCGATGTCATCCCCCGGCCTGGCGGCCCCACTGCACTTTTCCATCGGCGGGGCGGGGGCAGCGGGGCGGGGGCAGCTGGGCGGGGGCATGCCCTCATGCGGTGCACCGACTCACCGCTTAATTAAGGTCTTTTATGGGAAACGCAGCAGCGGCTACATTCGTTTTCACCATTTAAGATGCCGGTTCCTCCGGGATGGCGAAGTCAGCGAGGGTTATGGTCAATTTACATCAGATGCATGCAACGTGTCCATCGGCCGTAGCAGACGTGAGCGCCGCGCTGCCAGGGAGATTACCGACGTACAGTAGCGAGCTGGCCGACGCATGACGCGTGTTCCATTAGTCCACACCGCAGATCTTTGGAGTCTTTCCTCGTGGAAATTTAAGATGCAGGATTTACAGGGTCAGCGTTATTGTGTGTTCTGGTTTAAGTCCAGTTTTAGAGTGCTGTTTATGTCCCTGCGTCATTTCTATGTCTTTATGATGGGAATTCCGTGGCAGGTACAGGCATATTGTGGCCCCTAACCACAAGCTCACTGTAGTGGTCCACCTAGAACGGCTATGGAACATGCATGTAAGTAACTCTGCAGGACAGAAACCCAGAGCGCGGCTCTGCCTCCGTGCTTTATCAGAGACGTTAGGGGTGCTCAGGTCACCCCCGTAAGACGCTCACAATGCGTACACGCACACATCACGGACGGCACGTGTTTTCTGCGCTCCTTCCCAGGTGCACCTACACGAGGAGTCACACTACTAACAGCCAGCTGGTGTGCGGGAGGTTAGGACACAGCTGTGCAATTTGCACTAATAAAAACTGTTAAAAAAAAAAAACATCGCATTTTTTGAGCGGGGTTCCTTTAGGGAAATCGACCACCAACGCCATTAAAATGGACAATATCACTGCTCGGGCGGTACACACCTCCCCCCCCCCCTCTTTCTCACAGTTTGCCTGTTTTATGATGTGATTATGTCACAGTTAAAGCACCTAAATGAGCAGAAACCAATTTGAAAAATTCACATTCATTCCTTCCTCAGATTAATGAGTTCATGACACAAATCTTTATGCTTTACAACACCTGTGCAGGTGATTAGTTAAATATTTTGGTAACACTTTACTTGATGGGGCATAAATTATATAGCATTATACTATTACTTATGTATTAATAAAGCAAAAACTTAGTCTTAGTTACATACTGATCTCATGTTAGTTCATCATTAATGAATTCCTATGCATGTCTTATCTCAAACAGTTACTATATTTGTTACTATGTCTAATTCTGTAAACCTTTTTGAACTACTGAAGGAACTACTGAATACAAGTAAAAACAAGAAATGAATAACACAAGTGAAATACTGAACTCATGTTTGTTCATCATTAATAAATCGTGATACATTTTTTTTCTCAAGTAGCAACTATATTTGTTCATGATTTGTTCATAATTTATACTTTATCAGTAACTGTTTTATTACTAAGTATTTGTGCCCAGTCAAGCAAAGTGTTACCAATATTGACACCATTCCTAAACTATACTGGGAAAGTTTCAGTGTCTGAAAAATACAGTTCCACTTTGACAACACTATCCTTCAAAATAAAACCTCATCATTATAGTTCATTCATGTCCCAAGAACAGAATCGCCAACAAATTTCTACACAATGATCCATCTCCATGGCAACAGCAAAAAAGCCAGGTTGTGGCATCACTAAATTTGTTTTATTGCGCCTGAATATTGAAACATTGAAAGATATTGAAACAATCTGCTATTTTTAATAATGGGAGAGGCAGGCAAAGCAAATGTCGAGTTATTAGTGGGCACCTAAAATATGACTTCTTGGCAGAATTCACCTTGGACGAGCATTGATGCAACTGTTTTAAGGTTGCGACCCCCCGCCCAAAAAAAATCCAATTTTCCATGAACGTTTTCCATATGTCAGCTATCAAGGCTGCTGAGCAGAAGTATAAATGTTTGTCTTTTTTTTCCCCCCAAGCTGGTGAAATTCCCTCATAATTGTTAATTGTATCCGGAGTACATTTCCTTCACAGCAGACTGGCCTCGTTAAGTAAAGCTGTCACGTTTCGTACATTTATGGCGTACATAAATTAACGTGTCGCTGAGAAAACTAATTGCCTGTGACCCCTTCGGTTCTAGAGACAAAGCTGATGATAAACCCAGAGATGGATGTTAACCGAAATGCGAGAGTAATGGTCCTTTCAGAGCAGTTATCTGAAGGACTGCCGTGGTTTCAAACTCGATAAAATCTCCACTGAACTGAGCAGAATGTTAGCAGGTGGGTGAAATATTCAGCAGGGCAGGATCCACTGCGAGGAGATGTTTCGACTTCTCAAGAACATTGATCTGACTTCCTTTGAAGAGGAACAGCATGTCGGCTCATGTGGAGGACAGAGCCGTGGTCACATGGGATGATGTTCTCTCATAGGCTGATTTACACCATGGTGTCTTCTTACAGGTGGGGTATGGATGTAAATGCCACATATAACCACTTAGGTCCCCCCCCCAGGACCCAAAGTGTGCCTCTGTACCACGCTCATCACGTAGATTCCCACTACTTCCTCCCCGCCGCTCCGTACGCATTATGAATGACCAGGAGTACCGCTTCTGTGCTCCTGTGGAATTCATCTTTTGACGAGCGTTTAAAGTCGTGGTTTTGTGAGCGTGTGTGGGGGGATTGTGGGTGGCTCGGGGGAGCTCCTGAAAGACCCAATGTCCTGTAATTACAGCAAAACGAGGCACATAACCAGTAACCTCTTGGGGGGGGAAATGAAAACAGACCCGGTGATTCATACACGTGTTTTCCTGAACCTGTGACAACATATGTTTAATACACATTGGTGCTAAAAATGAAGTAAATATTCCCTTTATTGCCTAACAAAAATGCCGGACATGTAGTCATAATTGCCTGATTTGAAAGTCTCTGTCACTGACAAAAGGAAATACAGTTTTTTGGCAACCATTGCCCATTTATTGCATTTTATGAGCCTGGTAGTCATGTACCACGGTTTCGAGCGAAAATTAATTAAAACCAGGCGCTATTAGATCAAATTAAGGCCACATAGTTTAATACATAACTCGCTATGGCCCAAAAGGGCAATATCTGTCTGGGGTTGGTGTTATGGGCACAGCTGGCATGGGAGAACTCGAACCCAGGGACAGAGGTTAAGAGTCATCTGGGGGGGA